GGTACTTATTAGAGCTCCAAATGGGGTCTGGATTGAGTTTAAGTCCCAATAGGAGCTCGCGGCACGAGGCCTCCTGAAGGAACACCCGATCATCGTGACCGGTGAAAATTCCAGGTCCTCTAGGTAATGGCGGAACGACACTTGTCTGGTTTTCGAGACATTAAATGTGACCAGAGAAGTGATATGAACTGAAGGCGCTACCTAGCTAATATTCTACACGACTAACTTGCTAACTCTTTATTCTAAGCCAGGCGTTAGCGCCGCTGGGCTGTCCACCCAAGCAATAATTCTCCTTCATGACGGGGATCTAGATTAATCTCTGACGATTGATGTATCCCCAAAGTGTAAATCCCGAGGAAGTCTTCAGCAATTTTTGCCACCAGTAAGCATGGATCTCTCACTTTAAACTCAGCCATATCACGTTGTAACACCGGTTCCGGTACGATCACCGAAGTTAAGCAACGTCGAGATTGGTTGGGATCTAGATGGGTGACATGCCAGGTGCTGTAAGCTTGCTTGGGTGTGCGGGTGGCATAATGAATAATGACCCGTAATTGTTAATTGGAGAGCCGGGTTCAAAAGTCCCGTTGTGTTTGTTATATTCATTTATTCGCAAATATTTGGGTGGGGGGGGGTATGTATCCACCTTTTCTGACTCCCGAACTATGGGTTAATTAGCAAGAGTTTGGTTCGCAGTGGTAGCAAATGATATCTTAGCAATAGTGAGAATATTTTCCATTTTTAACAGCACCAAAGTTAAGCAACGTCGAGCTTGGTCAGTACCTAGATGGGTGACATGTTGGGAATGCCAGGTACTGTAAGCTTGGGTGTGCGGGTGGCGTAAGGAATTAGTAATTGTTAATCGGAGAGCCGGGTTCAAAAGACCCGTATGGGTCGTTATATTCAATTATTCGCAAATATCTTTGAGGAAAGTATGAATTCAACATTTCTGCCTCCCCGAGCTATGGTTTTAAATTCAAATATTTATATTTTAATCGTTTTATTTATTTATATTTTTATTTTTATTTGCCTTTACGGCAAAAGATCAACTAATGACAATATATTAAGGAATATTTTACTCGAATGAAGATTTCTGGGATCAATATCTGGAAAATAAATGGCATTTCACCATCATAAATAAAAAAAAAAAAACAATATAAAAAAAAAACGAGTATAATTTTAAATTATTCATCATTTAAAAAAAAAATCCCACGATAAACGCCATCTTGCTTTCCTTTTCAAAGTTTTTGGCTTTTCGATGTAATGTATCATTCGACGAAGTAAAGAATGCTTTCGGTAAAACCAGTTTTCGGGAAAATGAAATTAGATCTTCCACAGGAAAAAAAAAATGGCGGTAGTTTCTTCTTGTGTAAGATAGATACGAGGGTCGTTCAAAAAGGTTCTCACCCAGAAAGAAGAGGCATAGCGGAACATTTTTGTTGTGACAACACACTACCACTTTTTTTATAAAACCAGAAAAAAACTACAAAGGTGACATTTGTGCGACAAATCTAAAATTGAACAAAACAAGGGCCTGGGTCGCATAAAGTATCCGCAAAAGAAAAGCATGACACCCAAGAAAATCCATGAGGGCGTTGTACAGACATTTTCTGATGACTCCTTTTCCAACGCAACTGGGAAGAAGTGGGTTGCGGAATTCAAGCGGGACAGGGACAACACAAAATATGACCCTGGGTCAGATCGTCCCAAACTCTCAATCACTGATGAACAAGTTGATACCACTCACTGTATGGTTTTGGATGACAGATGTCTTACTGGCCAGCTAAATTCTCATAGGCATCAGTTCTGGTTCAGTCCATACTGTTTTACCTAAGATCTTTTAACTGCCTGTAAGATGGATCCCATGAATGCTGAAAAGGATTAACATTTCCAGGACACTTCTGATTCGCTTCTAGGCTGATACTGAGAATTTCCACCGCAGACAAATAATTCAAGATGAAACCTGGATTCACCACTTCGAACTCGAATCAAGGATTCAAAGCAAATATTAGAAATATTCTAGTTCTCCACCCCCGAAGAAGTTTAATTAGGCAGTGCCTGTTGGCTTCTGGTTTGGGGGATTCTGAAGGGATAATCATGATAGACAAAAAGGAAAAACTATGCATCAGAATTAAAACAACTGAAGGAATTAATGAAGTCGAAACGCAGTTCTGGGCAGGTGTGATCTTGCTCTAGAATAACATGTCCATACACATTGCTCAGGTTGCAGTAGCTGAATCAGCTAATTGTGGCTTTGAATTGCTACCCCATCCGCCTTAGTCACCAGACTTAGCTCCATCTGACTTCTTCATGTTTACTAAACTCAAGTCACACCTGCGTGGTCGCCATTTTGGAAACAATAATGCGACCATATGTGCTGTGGGGAAGTTTTGGGAGGACCAGAACACCGCCTTCTTCCGTAATGGGATTGCAATGCTTAAGCATCGTTGGACCAAGTGTATTGATGTCAAGGAGGACTATATTGAAAAATAGTGAAAAACTGTCTTTTCTCCAAGTTTTTCTGGGTGAGGCTTAGAATTTTTTAAACGACTCTTGAATATATTTTCCAAATGTTCCATTGTTCGGTGTATGAACACAAGTTTTGAATGCTAATTATCAGCAGCCTTTCTTTCTTTCTTTCTTAAAAAATTATACAGGGAGTGGCAGAAATACCTCCCACATAATGGTAAGACATTAGTGTCAATGGTGTTTTCCTCCAGCTAATGCCTTACCATTTTGTGGGAGG